ATGGTGATTTGTGAGACATACTATGACGATTATTGGGCATGCCGTTATGGCGGCATGGCGATAACTCATACATTTGCGCCTTCTAATTTTTATGAAGGATTTTGTCAACAACGGCAATAGAATTTTAGAGTGACGTTTTTATTCGTTTTATATCATCACAAAAAATTGACTTAAAATAACCTAAAATAATAATTACTTTTCAATCTAAAAAATATAAATTTGCAAAGTCAAATGGTTAACGTGACGACCAAAGTTTGGTTAACGTGACGATTACTGGGCCAACCTTAAAATTAAAATATAGATATCGCTAAAATCGTACGATATGGTTCGGCGATAACTATAATATTGAAAAACCGTTTAAAAACGAATGTTAAGTAAAAATAGAAAAAATAAGGAAAGAAAAAAGGAATGCTAACTAGACGACGATTCCCTAGATCTAAATCCCATGAGATCAATGATTAATTATTTAGAAAATTTCTATTGGAAGTACAGAAAAAGAGACATGTATTATTTTTGTTTTAAAATGACACATATATCATTATCAAGATATTAAACAATTTATTTTTATTACACAGGATATAATAAAAAGAAAATATTTCATGTGGATATAATTTCAGAAATAAATTCATGACACAAAAAATTCATATAAATATTTGTTTTATCTTTGATTTTCGAGTTATAAATACATTTCATTAATTCTCATTACAAATTTATACCTAAGTTACTTTTAGGTCTCGAATTCATTTATAAAATTATGCCTACCCTATTATATGTGTGTAAAATATTATGTTCTACATATAAATATATGCGTATAATATATGTGTATATGTGTGTGTCTAATAAATATACTGTACAATTATATGTATACAAGATATTTTTGCATATAAGATTTTATTTAATATATGAAATGATTTTTACTTTGTTCAACTTTGAGAAGTGATATCTGATAAATACTATGTAATCTAATGTAACATTATATTAAATTATTAACGATTGTTATCATAAAGATTAGGACATATTAGTATATCAGATTATTAGGTAAAAAATAAATATTGAATATTGTTCTCACGTTTTTATATATCGATAAAAATAGTGTTTGCGTTAATATGTGAAAAATATTTTACAATATGATCATATATTTTACAATATAATTAATATCGATTCAAACTTAAAATGATTAAACAATTCCTGTCTACATGTTGATTCCTGTCTACATTCTGATCTTGTATTTATTACAGATAAGTATTACAACAGTAACAAGCACAAATAAAATTATCATTATGGTTATTTATTAAGATCGAGTATCGCGATTTTAAGTGTCAGTCTCTCATGGGCTTTAAAGTCAGTTCTCGAACATTCTGGCTATGGAAAGTAAAAATAAAAAATAAAGAAACATAAACAATCATAGAGGGATCTGTTTCTATGTTGCTTAATCATTCGTTTCTCTAATTTTCTTTCTTTCTTTCTGCCGAAGGACAAAATACAATATCTACAATTGAGTTCCATCTTATGTTGATTATCTTATGTTACTATTTTTATACTTGGAATTTAAATAATCAATATATTAACGATATTAAATCGAAGAAAACATCAACAAATATTACAATATCCTTTTTGACTATAGTTTGTTTCTTTTTTTGGGATCAATTAACTTTTGGTATGGTCAACGTGATGTTGCAAATGCTTTGAAGCGTTTTTTAATTGTCAGTTTGTAAAATTCTTTCTTCTAATTGGTCCATCTAACGCTTCAAAGCATTTGTAGAGAGACTTTGATCACAGCCTTTGACTGATCAATCGTTAATATATTGATTGTCTAAATTCCAAGTACAAAAACGTCAACATAAGATATAATTCAATTGTATTTTGTCCTTGGACAGAAAGAAAGATGGAGAGAGAGAGAGAGAGAGAAAGAGACGAAGCTATGATTAAACAATATAGAAACAGACTCCTCTATGATTGTTTAAAAAATATGGAGCAAAGTATATTTCAATTGCAAGCTCGTTTTAAAAAGAGTTCTTTTAGACAGCAGAGTTATCTCATACACATCATTTCAGTAATTTACAGCAATGCACTGCAACATTCCATTAATATTGCAGTAACATTGCAAACGTTACTGTAAGTTTCTAGGATCTTGCATGTAACAACATTGTATTATGCTTTCTGCAATGGAGATGAAATGAATAATCATTTTTTGTAATAATTTTTTGAAGAACAATAAAAAATTCAACAGCAAGATTTAAATCTAATGTCTATTTTCTGTGCTTGAACTAGTGTACATTTTTGATATTTAAAGTGAGATATGTATATGTTTTATATTTGTCAAAAGCGAGAAAGAGAGTTTTAGTATAGTTTAATGCAGGAACAAAAGATAGATCACTAATAAAACAATTAAGATATAGCACTATAGCACACACAAACATTAAACAGTAAAATGTAAACGAATTGACCAATCAAGTAGATTGTAAGGCGATAACATAAGCTGTTAACAAATCCAAAATATTGATTCATTTACTTCTTAAATTTTGTGTGTATTATAACTTTATTCTATAATTGAATAAGAATAGTTGTAGTTGTAATGGATTTTCTACAATAAGTTGTTAGTAATAGATCAGAAGTTAGATGCTAATCGAAGTTATAAACGAATCTTATTCTTATACATGATGTCCAGTGAAATCTGGCTACTCAATTCAAGAATAATTCAAGAACATTCCAGATAAAAATCTTGGTTTGTCTAGGATTTATCCATCGATTAATTTTTATTATTAAATTAATTATTAAATTTTCAACATTTGCATAATATTATACGCTTTGTATTTTTCAAATTAGGACTCTATATAACGAATGAATTAAAACGCTAACAATATTATTTATTTTATAAATAATATTAACGGATGCAAAAAGTTCAGCTAGAACCGGCCTCGTGATTCGCGCCGATCGCACAGTGCGATCAGCGCGAGCACATGGTAGCGGCGATGTGCACAGCCAAGATCATCATGTCGGTTAGAATGAAAAATGCGGGAGCTTCCCGCCGAAATCTAGGAGAAGCGAGGAACTGAGTTTCATTCACTCGGGAATCATGCTTTCTTTTCCAGAACATTGCTATTTTCGATGATAAGCGTCACCGGAGGGTTAAGAGTTTATTAAAGAAGATGCGATTAGTGTTGATCGAGATTTGGGTCTGAGAGGAGAAAATGAAGAGGATAGGAGAAAGCGCGGCACGTTCCCTCCGGGAAGCGATCCTGTTCCATGGCGGCGTACACGGGACGATGGTAGTGCTGAGTTGCGTTCGAAATATCATCTCAGTGCACTCAGATGTCGTTTTATCCTTCAAATTCAGTGAACAACAAGGATAAAACGACATCTGGATGTATCCAGATGATGATTCTGAATGCAGCCCTACTGGTAGAGAGGGTGGGAAAGTTGCAAATACAAGGGGACGTAGAATGAGACAGAGAGAGAGAGAGAGAGAGAAAGACGGAGGAGAAAGATGGAGAAATCAGTTTTTTTTCCGACCGATACAAAATCACTCCGATAAGGTCCCTCTAGCAAAGTAAGATGGTCCTCGGATTACTCACCTGGGTGTCCCTCGCCAACAGACTCCGACGTGAACAGGAATGCGGTGTCCTGTTGCAGCTCAGGCGGCGCGTGGCCATTCGCGTAGCCGTTCATATGGTGTGCGGTCTCCGGCATCTTTCTACGTTTCGGTGTCGTCGCCGCCGTAATCGCCGCGTCGCCTTGAAGCTAGTATTCGTTACTCAGATTCGTTCTGGGTGTATCGCCCACACCGTTGAGTCTTTTTAACGTAAATGGCCGTCTGCACTGCGGGCGAACGTCTCTCCACGTGCCTTCTCCTTCTCGTTGTCGTCGTCGTCGTTACCTCTCTGCGTTTACGCGCGCTCTGCTCCGAGTTACTGTCCGCGTGGTCGGTGTAATACAATCGAGCAAGTCGCGTTTCTTGCAAGAGATATTATATATTATACTTACTTGTAGTTACTTTCGTCGAGAGGATACACGAGCGAGCGACAGCGTGCACGACTTGCACGAGAGGAAAGGTGGATCGAATCGTGAGAGAGCCCGAGCTCCACACAGGCACACGGCACACCGCGTAATGATCGTAATGATTGCCGATCGGGACCGCCGAAGCGAACCGAGCGAGCGAAGCGAACAGGCGAAGCGATTAGCGAAGCAACGCGCCGCGACGCGTAGCGGAAAGTCGAAGAGACTCTCTGCAGCCTATCGTCCTCTAATTATAACCTCGCTCCGCCTCGCTTACCTCGGTTTACCTCCGGCCGCCTGTCTGGATTGCGTTCCAAAATTCAACTCGAATATTATTTTATTCTTGTTGGTCATTAAATGTTGAATAAAGATAAAAGATACTCAGAGTTGACAGAGTCAAGTTTTGGAACGCACCTCTGTATGATTGATCGGTATGCAGTCACGTGAAGCTACCGTACGCTCGGCGCGAAATTTGAGTTGAACGGAGTCTCGTCGTGCGTGTTTCGACAATTATTATTCGCTCTCGTTTGCTCTCATCAACTTTACTCTTACAGAAAATGAAACACGCGTTTTACGGCGTCTACGATGAGATTTTAAGTGAAACTTAGGATCTATTCTTAACTTTTTATCCTTGTATTACTTTGCGCAGTTTTTTACTATACACAAAAATGATAATGTAACGATATCAGTTAGAGTCGTTAAGAATTATAGAATAGAATTCTCAGAGGCAGAGTTTGAGGAGATTTCAAACGATTGGGGATTTCAATTGTAAAATTGGATAATAGTATTGAAAATTGTTTCTCTCTCGAGAGGAACAATTTCTAAAAATGTTAAATTTTTTTCTCTTTTTTAAAAAGATACAATTCTTTGATAAGTTTTGGCGGAGACTAATACGCAATTTCAGCGAGATGAATTTATTTATATACAAGTTCATTATAATTTTACATTTTTGCACACATATATATACATATATATATCAAATCGTTTATTTATTATTAAAATATGTACAAGTATTTTATGATTAAATAAAATATAAAAAATATAAAATATTTTTAAGAAATAAAAACTTCGCATAATCTACACGCCAATTCCCAATTACCTATCCATCATTTGTTTACTTTATTTGAATTTATTATCTTGGAAATTTATTTATCACTTATTATCGAATTTATTTATCACTTATTAAAATATATTTTAACAATGATTATATCAATATTTAGTAAATATACAAAGATATGAATAAACGAGCGAAAATTTATTAAATGTATTATTATTAAGTTATGTAACTTTATCATCAATATTACATTATTGTAGTCTTTTGTATATATATATATATATAAAATATTTTATTTATTGCCAAATATTTCGACAAAAAATATTTACCCCGGTAAAAAAATGCATGAATATGTAGAGGAAAATTCTCTATTATAGGCGCCTAATATTAGATAGCGGCGTTTCTGCTAAACTAATTAATAAAAACGCTATCAATTTGTTCCACCATTCATTGCTTTTGGATTGAAAATTATTTAATGGAAAATTCATTATTAGATCGTGTCTGTAGTCGTTATAAAAAAAGATTTTAGAATTTTGGATGTCTTTAAGTTTCATTGAGATGAGCCTTTAAATCTTGTTTATTATTTAATAAAAAAAATAAATATTTGGCAATAAATTCTTCATGTAGTGATAAAGTAAAGTAATAATAGAAAAATACGGAATAAATTGAATTGCTTAATTACAAAAGTTAGATTTGATGATTATAAAAGGCGTGAAAATCGTAATATGAAATATTTAAGATATTTCTAATGAAATACTCTATTTCCATTCCTGTGTCATAGTGAAAATCATTGCTAAATTGTATGAATGTTATTGTATAATAATAAAATTCATTATTTTTTTGCTTGCGACTGTTGTTATACGTAAAGAGAATATCAGAAATGCATTAACAAACATTTTAATGTAAATATTTATTAACCGCTGTGATTATTTGCATTGAAAACTCTATCTAATATTTTGAGCACATTTTTAAACAATTATTTGTTTTTCTCATTGATTTTTTATAATCGCGAATAAATTTATTTCTAGTTATGTTTTGATTTAATTTAGTTTTCACAATTTCAATTACCGAAAGATTATTAGAATAGAAGATTATTATTGCAATTTTTTTCAACTTATAAATGAAGTATTGAGACTTTTAAATATAATCCCCTAACTTTCGAGTGTGCGAAATTTAAACTTTATTAAACGAGAATATAATATGTATCTAATCTAAACTTGAAGGACACTATGATAAGTTTATTTATCATTTATTTTGATATACTATAATGTTCCTGCTGATTTATCAATATGACACTATGATCTTTACGACGAATAATCATTTTTAGGATTTGCCCCGTCATATTTTACATTCGGAAACGTTATCGAAGTTTTTAACATTGCATCATGTACGGAGTGATCTCGAAAATTAAAAAATAAAAAGTAATCATCTGTATCTGCATAATCCTCATGTTTAACATAAATTGTAAAACTTTGTTCTTAATGCTCGAATCAGTTACTCCGAGATATCGGAATAATTTTTAGCATTGTGAACACAAAGCTGAAATGTTTCGAATTCAGAATTTTATTTTTACAACCAGATATATCACAAAATAAGATAAAAAAAACATTTGTTTTTGTAATCATAATTAAGTAATTATAATGATATCATAGGACGTTATCATGATGTCATTTGACACTTAAAAATGAACTTGTAAATGATAAATAAAATCGTGATGATATCCTTTTATTATAATAATTTCTACTTGGAGGAATTCTTGATATGACAATGATATATAAATAACTTTTTTAAATTAAAAAATTTTCATCAAAAGTATATCGAAAGATATTATTATTACTTTAAAAAGATTTTTATTTTAAAATAACTTCTACCTGATATCATTTTGATCTTATTACGATTTTGTGTTTTACCTAGCGGACATTATTATTGCTGTAATATATAATATATAATAAATAGAAATTAACAATTCGGCCTAGATACTTACTGATAATACTGGTCAAGTGTTTATTATGTGATTATAAATTGCTTTGAGTCCCAACTCGAGAAATGTTGAATTCCGCGTCTTTTGTAGCGCCGTCGCGTTTTTTTGACACAGCCAGAAATCTAATTCGCACGGGATATAAGAAGAATAAAGTTTGCCACAAAGTTGCAATACTCGAGCACAATATTCAGAAGAGACGAACGTTATCGTCACTCGACAGAATTATACTATGCGAGAGTGCAAACTGGTTAGACTTTTATATATCGCTTAGCGAATTGAAAAACTCTTGGAGTGGGATCGATAAACTCGTAACTGTATTAGAATACTCGAATGACATCAGTTTGCAGCAAATTGCACAAGTGTTTATGGTCTTATTTGTTTTCTTAGAGCGATGGAAATATAATTTAAAATCTGTATAGTGCTGCTATTCTATAACTTTTAATGACAATGTTGACATTATCGTTGCAGATATTATAATATGTGGTAAAAAAGTTGCGTAACGATAATATAACAATATTAAAGCTATTGTTAAGAGTTATAAGGGATCTCATCTTTTTGCAATATAAAGCTGGATGTAGAATTATAAATGAATAGAAGCTGAATTTATCTAAATTTATTTATGTAATTAAAATTATTCAGAATTGCTCAAAATTTGTGATAAGATTGTTGTTAGTAAAGAGCTATAAAATAAAACAGTTTTTAACCAAAAGCAATCTTGAACGCAACAATTTAGGAAACTAAATAACTTTAAACTAAATTGGATGAAACTAAAAAGATCTGAAGCGATTATTTTTAAAATTCGTAACTTATGAAATTGTTAAATTTCGAATTTGGAAGTTTCGAATTAGAAATATATATGGGTTGCTTACAGATACTTACAAGTAAGAATTTATGAAGTATCTGTAGGTATCAACAATCTTTGTAAAAATGTAATAATTCAAAAAATAAATTATTGTCAATGGACATTGTGAAAAAATTTCAATTATAATAAAAATAAATTCTGTACTTGTGGAAGTAACCTTCCTCAAACGTGAGAACTTTAGAACCAGCAATTAAAAAATGTGCAAGCAAATGAGATATTTAAATTTCCAATTATTTTCTTGTAATAAAATTATATATACATATACTTTGTTATTGATTATTTTTGCTTATGGTAAAGCTTGTGTACTTCTTTTTGACTTGTGGAAAAACGTAATATGCAATATACGACTAACATGTTGTAATCACAATCAAAGTTGTCCATCATTTGAGTCAAGCGTTAATGATGTTAAAGTTGCTGATCATTTTATATGACGTATATGTTACTCGTAAGTGACGAGTTGTGAATCATGTTAATGAACGTGAAACGATTGTGTGATGACTAGCACTTAAGTTTAAATGCGATAATAATTATCATCTAATATCTTTGATATTTATTATAAATAGAACTGATCTTTTAGCCATTCAAACAACACTCATTAATTATAAAGATAATTAATTAGTAAATAAATGTAGTAAATGCAGTAAATGTAAATAATTAGCCCAGCAAATAAAAATGGATTAAAATGGATTGAAATTTTTTTTTATCCGAATGCGTATTTTAAATAACGAATATTTTTTTTGGGTTTAATTGGATTCAATTGGATTCAATTAGATTTAATTGGATGCAATTGGATTGAAAAACTGCATTTCCTATTCAAAATTTTGAATTAAACAGTATTCATAATGCACAAAAAACTAAGAAAGTAACCAGAGCTTTATAAAAGTCACTCAGACGTAAGTAGTAAGAAAATCGTAACATTGGATTTGCCATATTGGCCTTACATAGTGGAAGGATTATATGAGTTCGCTCCCTAAAATTAGCGCTCTTTGTGTTTTTCTGCTTTTATGCAAGGCCTATGAAACGCGAAACATGGAGCGGTATTCATAGTCCGTTTTTATTTTAAAATCGTCTTAAATGTAATGTCTTAAGATATTAATACAGTCCTCGGATTAACTTATGATATCTTAAGATTGATTTAAGACAGACTTAAATGTAAGAATCGACTATGAATATCAATCTGTTTCGCGTCATGAAGTTACTGAATCTTTTCTCGCGTTGGACTGCGCACTTAGAGACGATGCGGAGTAAAAGTAGGCGTGGTTTGGCCAAATTGAGCACACCATGTAATCCTTCCACCATGCTTACGATCTCTACTATGATTTGCTAATTTGCTTATTGCTTACGTATTATTGGATGCATTCCGTTTCACATATGATGTGCATTTATCCTTGTTTAATATTCGGTGAAAAACAAGGATAAATGATTCATCATGCGCATCATGCATGAAACGGAATGCAGCCTCTTAAGAGGCTATTTCACACAAATTTGCATAACCATATGCATAAAGAAAATTACCCAATCACATTTCTATTATAAAGACAAACATAAAATATGATTGAATGATTTTCTTTATGTATATGTTTATGCGATTATGCAAGTTCGTATGGAATGACCTTAAGCGGGAAGCACAGACTCTTAGGCCGGGTTCATCACCTTGATGGAAAAACGGAAAGCGGAAAAGCGGAAGCCAATCGGAACTCGCAGTAGTAGGCGGTTTTCATTTCGTTTGTCTGCTTCTGTCTTTTTGCCTGTCTATGTATTATAACGCAAGCATAAGAACTCTCTGTACTGCAGATTTTTAATTGCTTTTGATAACAGGCACGAATATATAGGTTTTTTAAATATCTTTCCACATTTAGTTAATCAAGTTATAGATTACAGAACGCAGCCTGTATTTACAATATGTCTGAGAGGAAAAAGTGTTCAAAGCTATCCCCTTCTCCCTAAGGAGATAATAAATTCAACAAAGAGAATAATTTTTAAGTAATATAACAAAGATTTAATGGAAAATAAAATGAGGATCCTATGCATTTTATTTTTAACCGATGGCGTCAAATGTTATGAAAAATATAACACATATGTTCTCTGTTTATCGGTTCTGCTTTGTAAATAACTCTTTAATCTCATAAAAAGATTAATAGTAAGCAGTAATTTTGTAACAACACATTGCACATGCAGTGTTGTAATAATATTGCACTTAATATCGAAGATCGTCTTTACCGAAGATTATTTTAACGCAAAACAATTTCTGAAGAAGGGGGATGATCAATATGACGAAATTTTTGATTTTGTTTATCGCAATTAATGTAAACTGACGATCAGAGTTTAATTCGTCTACAGTGATTTAGTTAACTGGTGTCATGATGTCGCATGAGACGTTTTTGATTTTAAATAATTTTTTTTTATCTAAATGAAATATGTTATTCTAAAATTATTTTAATGAAACGTATTATAAACATTGATAATGAAACTGGATCTAGTGGAAGAAAGTCAGTGAATTAGTGATAATATTTTTAGTGTTATAAAGTGTTTTTGTAATAAATTTCAAGCTTAGCTTTTAACTTAAAAGGAAGTTCTTTTGCGAAGAAAAAAGATTTCTTAAATATTTAATAAAAAAAAATTTCAGAAAAAATTTCTCAGACGTTTACCAAACACATATTACAAATTTTTTTCGCATTATTCTTACATATATTTATAATTATTTGTAAACTTTAAAAGCTATTTACTAATACATATACAGGATGTTTGGAAAGTAATGATATCTGCATAAGGACAGAAAGGACTAAACTGAGAAGAAAAATCCTCTAACATTTTACGATTTTAGCAATAGTTAATAAGATATTAATTGCTAAAAAAAATTATCAAAAATTGATCTTCAATAATTTTTTACTTAAATATCAACTTTACAACTGCTTAAAAACTAACTGTTTTAACACTACTTTAAAACTGCCAGAAATAAAAATAATTTATTTTCTTCTCATAGAATTCTAAGTATTTTTTCAGAATTTTTTATCAACTTTTTAAGACTGATTTTTTTATTTTCATCAGGACATGAGATTTCAACATGAGAAAATACTATTAAAAAATTTAGAAAAAATTCTCAGAACTTTATGAGAAGAAAATAAACAATTTTTGTCTCTTACAGTTTTTCTGTAAAGTTGATACTATGTGAGTAAAAAATTATTGAAGACCAGTTTTCGGCAATTTTTAACAATTAATATCTTATTAATTATTGCTCCCCCCCCCACACACACACACACACACACACACACACGCCATTATATTGTAGCAAAATATAATTAAAACAAGATATAATTAATATTAATATCGAACGAAATATATTTATGATATATACAAAAAAAAATTTCTTCAGCGTGACTATATGTCAGCAGTTTAATATTTAAAACCAAGTGTGCAATATAATCTGCATTAGTAACAGAGTACTGATAACTAAAGTGCTGACTAGTTTGAAAGTTATACGTCTGGATATAGTAGATAGAATCTTGAGATAGAATCTCATTAATTCTTTAGTGCAAAGACTCTAAATGAAATTTAAGATGGGAGTGTAATTCTCTCGATTCAATCGAAAGTAATCCAATTATGTAAAATAAAACGAAAAAATAAACTATATTTTTTTCTACGAAATTCTTGTTTTTAAGAAAATTAAATTTGAAAATTTTGTGTTTAATGTATGTCTAAAATTATTTGATTAATGTGTCTACTATTTATTATTCGTTTTTGATTTATGCTATTCTTTGATTAATTATAAATATTAACAGAATTAAATTCCAAATATCAATGCGAATAATCTGATATTCTTTTAATACATAAAACATTATAAACAAATATTTTCTTTGCTACAATTTTTCTGTTGTAACTATCGATACAGTGTAATTTATTGTGATAAATTGCATTAAATATAGAATAACCGCTAAATATTTCATCCGTAAATAAACCGAACTAAACTGAGTCGAAAAGTCCTCTACTTTATTTTTCGATTTAAACAGTGAGCAAAAAATTCCGATTGCGATGTATATTCTTAAAGCAATTAATTCTACAAACATTTTGAAACCAAAATGAGCTCAGCAATTAATTGCTTTAAGGTACTTTATTCTTGTACGAGCCAGCACATTTTTAATCGAATTTTTTGACTTAAACAGTGAGCAAAAAAGTTAGGAATAGATCAAAAAATTAGCAAAAAAATAGCCCTTTAAGAATATGTACTTGATTTTTCATTTGCTATATTTTTCTTTTGTGGCTGTGCTAACTTTAATCTTAAGCTAGCACAGCCGTGGGTTTTAGCGAACTCTGGAGCTCTGCTCTCGGGAGCAAAAAAATCGGGAAAGTTTC